CCCCAGGCAGCAGGAGCAGCCTCCTGTGATCCAGCAGGCAAATCAGGGACCTGCACCCCTGGGAGGAGTCTGGCAGGGCCCCTGCAGCCCTTCCAGAGGTGCAGGTGGGCCCCCAATGTGCTGCTGACACCTGGGACCAGCACTGGGCGCAGTCTGCACCCAGCACCAGGAAGACTGGTGCTGCTGCTGGCCCCAGCCAGCAGAAGCAGCCTCCTGTCATCCGGCAGGCAGATCGGGGGCCTGCCCACACCCTGGGAGGGCTGCAGGGGTCTGCCGGGCTCCTCCCAGGTGTGCAGGCGGGCCCCTGATCTGCCTGCCGGATCACAGGAGGCTGCTCCTGCTGCCTGGGACGGGCACTGGGCGCAGCTTGCACCCAGCACCGGGAAGACTGGTGCTGCTGCTGGCCCCAGCTGGCAGCAACAGCATGCTGTCATCGGGCGTGCAGATCTGAGGGCCCGCACCCCCGGGAGGGCTGGGGGATGTGCCAGAATCCTCTTGCGGGGTGCAGCACCCAGATCTGTGCTGGATGACAAGAGGCTGCTGCTGCTGGCTGGGACCGGTGCTGAAACCAAGTAAGCCCAGCTTCGAAACATTTCAAGTGCCCTTCTTTCATTTTGAAGCTATTACAAAGGCTTTTGTTTCATTTCGATTTCACTGTTTTGAGCTCAAAATGCATCAAAACAGCTTCAAAATGAAACACCCAGCGAAATTTTGCACAGTCCTACTGCCAGGTGCAATAATCTGGGAGCTAACTTTGCCTGTGAAGACAAAAGTGAAAAAGGCATTGAGTATGTCAGCCTTTTCTGTATCCTCTGTCACTAGGTTGCCTCCCCCATTCCGTAAGGGACCCACACTTTCCCTGATCTTCCTTTTCTTCCTTACGTACTCATAGAAACCCTTCTTGTTTCCTTTCACATCCCTTGCTAGCTGCAACTCCAATTGTGATTTGGCCTTCCTGACTACCTCCCTGCATGCCCAAACAATACTCCTATATTCCTCCCTAGTTTTTTGTCCAAGTTTCCACTTCCTATAAGTTTCCTTTTTGTGATTTAGTTTACTGAAGAGTTCCCTGCTAAACCAAGCTAGCCTTCCTGCTCATCGGGATGGCTTGTTCCTGCACTCTCAGTAAGACTTCTTTAAAGGTACAGCCAGCTCTCCGAGACTCCTCTCCTCCTCAGACTGACTTCCCAGGGGATCCTGCCCAGGAGTTCCCTGAGCAAGTCCAAGTCTTCTTTTCTGAAGTCCAGGTTCCTTACTCTGCTGCTCTCCATCCTTCCTTTCCTTAGGAACCTGAACTCAATCATCTTGTGGTCGCTGCTGCCCAAGTTGCCATCTACTATTTAATAATACATTCCCCACCAATTCTTTCCTGTTTGTGAGCAGCAGGTCAGGAAGAGACTGGCGCCTAGTTGGCTACTGTAGGACTTGCACCAGCACTTGCACCACCACTGGTACTATTCTATATGAGTCAGGGCCCAGGGCAAGCATCTGTGCTGAAGAAGGAAGCTTAAGTATGTGTTTAAGGGCCCATGTTCACCACCTCCGTGCCAAGCCTGGGAAAGCCTTAAGAAATAAGCCCTGTCCACTCATTCCTGCTGCCTGCATGCCAAATCCAGGAAGACAAGCATCATAGCTTTTCTATAGTGGCACTGAGTGATAGGGTCTCTTTCCCCAGCATGCTGATTGGTATGTTCTTGGAGCTGCCCCAAAACTGCCACACTGACTAGTCTTCAAGTTCCAGTGCACAGAGCATGGAAATTAGCAGGCAGGATGTGCTTTGTGGGATTCCCAAGCTCCACATGGATGCAGTTTAGATAAGCCATAAGGGTCAGATCCTATTACGGTCCCAATGCAATTCAGCTCCACCGTTCCTCCGACCGTGAAAAACTCTACCCATGTAACATGCAGTCATTAGGCCTTAACATCAAGTAACAAAAAGACACTGAGGAGGAGGAGAACCCACCCATCTTTTCCATAAACAGGTTTTCAGGGGCTTGTGTAGGGTGAAATAAGATGGCAGTTAGGCAGCCAGGTCCACTGAGATGCTTAAGTGAAAAAGAATCTAGCCAAAGCATTTTCCTGAATTGGACCCAAGGAGAATGAGTGAAAATAAATATAGTTAAAACCATACCACAATACCTGAATGGTTAACAGGCCTCAGGGTTGCAGAGACAGACAATGCATTCAGCTTCCACTGAAACCAAACAGCTTGCCATTTGTCTTTTTTTGGTGGGGAGGTTGTTTTGGTTTGTTGTTTTAAAAACATGGGTCACCACCCCCAAATTCCTACCCTGATCCAGGTGACAAAAGCCCAGAAAGTCCAGGGGTCTTGGGAACCTGGGCTTGGTGTTCACATCTCATCAAAATAGATTTTCAGGGAAGGAACAGCCCAAAAAGCCATGTCCAGAACCAAAAGCGAGAAATGCATTTCTCATGGCATTCATTTACTGCAACCCCATCTTGAGAGTGGATCTCTCAGTAGCTGCTGGGGGCCTTCAACAGGGCTGTGAAAAAGAAATGCTACCACAAATTTTGTTCAAATTTCCCCATATTATAATTATAAGGGACTCCACTGTAACTACCTATTACATTGTTTGAAGAAGCCCAAACAATTCCACAAATAAAATGAAAATGAAACAACACCCTTACACTATCTACTTAGTAAGTCAGCACAATATTAAAAATCATGGATGTCATCACAAACCAACAAGCATCATGATCCATTGACCAGTCTAGGAATTAGAACTCTTGGATTCTTTATTCAGCTGTGCACTGACTGAAGTGTGGGAGATATTGAGTAGGTCACTTGAGTCTACTATGTCTCAATTTCCCCATCTGGAAAAGAGGAATGATGAGGCTTACCTATCCTTATAAAGCACTTTGAGATCAATGGATGATGGGTGCTATATACCATAAGGATATTTCCTATCAATCCATCATAATTATTAATAAATTAACCGCTACTCCTTGGGAATATTACAAGTATATTTTAAATAGAAAAGGTGTAATAATAATTACTATTAAAAAGCACAGCTCTAATATAGCACTTTTTTCAGTAGATCTCAAAACAATGATGAAAACATACTTGATGCAGAATGCACTGCAACTGAAAACTTGTCTAACTTTATTTCAACCATCCAATTGGTCCAATAAAAAGTTATCACCCTAAAAAAATCATTGCCCCCCCTTAATAAAGGAGGTCAATATTGGCACTCCCCTTTTCCAAAAGGGAAAAGTTAAGCGCAGTGAGTTGATGTGTTTTGTCAAAGATCTACCAGTACGGTGGTGAAAGCAGAGCCCAGGTTTCCTAAGCCCCAGTCGAGTACTGTATCCACTATTTCACACATCACCCCATAAGCATCAATTCATGATGAATTTATATGAACATACTGCTATTTGAGTTGACCACTGTGTGTGTTATTAATGCACACATATATAACTTTTTCCAGTTTTTAGATGGCAGTTTAAAAATGTATTTGGCATCACTGTTAAACTTCTTATGTTCTGATGAAATATATACTTTTACATACCCCAATAATGTGGTTTCAGTTGGAAAGGTAGTCATTTATTAGATTCTAAGTCCTTGAGTTTTGTAGATCATGTGATAGATAAATAGTCGTCATTTTGCAACCTTAACTTTTTTAAATAAAGGGGTTTGATTTCTTCTTAAGTACACACCTGGGTGTGGCACTTGGGAGCGGGGGTTACCTCTTTTAGGCAAGTAAATGAAGGTAGAATTTAAAATATTTTAAATAAACAGAATGAACAAGTTTGCTATTAAGACCTTGATTTGGGAAAGCACATAAACACACATTTAATTTTTAAATGCACATATTTTGGTTTTGCAACATAAAAGAGAATGTTTCACCACAGGTGGCAAAAGTGGGGTGTGCTAACCGGACTCAGCCCACGCAAAGGCAGGGTAGCAGGTAGGGCTGTAGGGCAGCCCAGCCACAGGCTGCTGCAGCAGAGTGGGGAGGGACAGGCACACTGAGATACCCTGCGCACTTGCAGCCAGGATTGCAGCTGGCCCAGCTGCAGGCAGGTAAGTTTTTTTTCAATCTTTATGACTGCCTGGGCTGGGGGTGGAGGGGGGGAGATTGAGACCCCCACAGTGCAGGAGACAGTGGGGTAGAGATAGGGCAAATCATTTGCCCCTGCCCCACTCCCTCTTGCACTGTGGAGACTGTCCCATGACCCGGCCTGGCTGAGACCCCATTCATGGTGAATGGAGCCCTGGTTGAGCTGGGTGATGGGACAGTCAAGGGGGAGGGGGGCACATGGCCCCCCCAATCTTAGCATGGGGCAATGGCAGGCTGCAGCTGTGAGGTGGGCTCAGCCTCTGCTCCCTGCCTCTGTGTCTCTCTGCCACCGCTGCTTTGAAAGCGGCATGGCGCCCCCCCCACGCCCCCCCAATTTTTTTTTCTCCCTCCGCCTATGCGTTTCACCCTAACTGTACTTTTCTGTGAAAGGCCCTTTTTCATCAAAAAATAATCATGAGACAAAATATCAACCAGCTCCACTTAATTCCAAACATGTATGAACAGAGAAAGAAGCACTTTCCTTCCTTCTAGAGCTACAAACAAGATCAAAATAAGAGAAAAATGCTGAAAACAAAACGTAACATGAGTCCCCAACAAAATTTTCAAAGAAACAGAGTAAAATAAAAGCAGACGGGCTTATGTGGGAAAGAGAAACATAGGGAGAAAATGCCAAAAAAAAATGGATAATGAGTTACCTACCGGTGATTGTGTCGGTGATAGTTGTATTCTTCCCCCATCCTACAGCCAATCACCAGAATTGTCTCTTCCTGCCAGGAAGCAAGGAGGCAAAAAAGGCTGTCATTTAATGAAAATATAGTATCCAGCCATTTACTTTACCTGCCTCTTCCATGAGAACTACCCAAAAATTCAGGGAAGAAACCTGTCCTCCACAGTCCACACTACTCAGGTGGGCTAAGTGGTAGAAGATCTTGCACTTTCCCTGAAGAGTCAAATACTGATCATTGCCAAAGGCAGAGTTTGGTCAGCTCAAATGCAGTGAATATTATGTTCCTAGGCTCCAGAGATACAACA